GTGGCAGAAGGGTATGTTAGCTTGTTGTCTTGCAGCCAGAAGCATTCAAAGTAGTCTCGTAGAGTGCTGAGTGTGACAGATGACTGTTAAACATAAGAGAAATTAAGATTGCGTTGTGTCCTCCTGGAAATGGGGTGGTTTAAAAACTTTTTTTTTTTTTTTTAAACTTCTGTAGAAAGCTGAGTGAATTAAAAGATCTAAACTTTCTTTTATTAGTGTCCTTCTTAATTGCATCATAAGAAAGACAAATATGCAATCTGTATCTCTATTGATACTGCTTCAGTGCATTTGTCACCTATGTCTGAAATGTTATTTTGCTTTCCAGGACTCCCTTTAGAGTCCAACTATGTAGTCTGGCTTTTGCTCTGATGTCTGTCTTCTGCATACTGAAGGTGCTACAGCTGCATCTCTGGTTTCTCTTTCCTCCTGCTTTCTTCATCGGGCTTCTCCAGTATATTAATTCGTTGCTATCCCAGTGTTTGTCTTGTAGTGTTCTGGGTCCCCAAGAGCTCTTACATTTTTTACTTACCGCCTTTGGTCTGTCATCCTAAATGCATTCTCCACACCAACTTTTCTTAACTACCTAATGCATTGCCTTTGGCAACATTTGGGCTACCATGTAGGGATGTCTTGTGGTTATTTGTTGCTTTTAAAATAGCAAGCAGTGACATTTAAAGCTGAGTAAATAGCAGGCCAACTTTCTTCTGGCTTTCCTGTGCAGTATCTGGTGGATTATTTATATTAGACCTACATATTGAAACAGCATTGGTTTTCAAAGTAGCATTGAAAACTCTTTTCAATTCCCTTCAGTTTCTCCCCTCAGACCTGGCAATATTTGGAGTCTTTGTTTTTGATCAACAACAGCTGGAATCATGTGAATCTGATGAGCCTTTTTCTTTAAAAGCTTCTAGTTCTCATATCAGTGTGTTCAAACCTTTATTTTGAATTTTGAAGGCTAAAATCTGACAGCTGAAGTTCAGTGTTAGTCTCTGGAAATTAAACATGCAATGCTACATGCAAGTACCATTATATGCTGAATTGCACTTCATTCCTCATTCCATATGCTTGAGTCTGATAATGTGACTGCAAGTGTCTTGCAAAGAAGCAGGCCTATCTTATTTTTAAGCAGTCCTATCCCATACTTAAGTTAAAATAGCGTGTTTCCCTATGCCCTAACTGTTGTGTGGGAAAGGGTTATATACTGCTGCTTTTACATTTCATAGCATTAAGCTATAACATCAGAAGCCTCCTCAACAGTCTTTGATCCAGAAAGCATCTATACTTGGCTTTAGCTTCTGGGTAACTCGTCCTTCAAAGAAACTGTTGCCCTCTTTCCTCATAAGGTCTGGAGAGGTGTAACAAATACAGTTTTGCTGAACTTTTGTTCTAGCAGCAAAAGCATGAGCTCTTACCATGGATAAATCTGTAGGAAAATAATATTTTTGTGAGCTAAAATGGTCTTTTAAACCAGTGTTCAATTTCTGTGTTAAGTTGTAGTAAATGCAAAAATAAACAACCTAAAGCAGTAACTTTTAGGCTCTGGCAACCAGGTAAACTGACTGTTGGTGTCCTGTTACATGACAAAAAGCTCGCTTTAGGAATAATGGGTAGCTGTTTCACTGCAACCTGATGATACAGAGTTTGAAAAGGTCTGAACACTGCTCCATTTAGCTGTGAGGTCTCTATGAAATGTAGTGTCCTTTGCTTTCGTTCTCATAGCCCGATCAGATCTCTGATCCAATTGCTTGTACACTTACGCAAGGGCTGTTGTTGTTGTAGTAGAATAATGCTTTGAGATGATGTGTGCACTGTAGCCTTACTGTAGCAGCACTGAAATGTTTCAGGGACAAAATAAAATCCAGTATTCTCTTTGGGAGAGGTGCATTTACTATCCTTTAGGATATTCTTACCACACAGAGATTGTTTGTGCTAGTAAGAGACTTAGAACAAGTATTTTTCTTTCAGCTGCATTTACAATTAGGAAATAATGTACATAATTTTGTGTCTATTCCAAAAGGGCATTGTTGAAGGGCTCTGAAAAAAATAGGCCATCAGACTGGCTGTTTGCATTATCAGCCTGAATGACTGAAGAATTGGATTACTTACATGACACTGAGGGAGCACTGAACTCTGTGTGATGCTTGCCTTAGGGACAGTTCAGGACTCTGCATGCAAATATTACCTGTTGGCCAGCTAAAATCTGAGATCAACTCTGAGAGTCTTAAAGGTGTTTATAGGAAAATCTTAGTTCACTTGTTCACTTGATGATTAGCCTGCTGTGCTTCGTAGAAGTATGCTAGAAATTAGAGCCAAAACCTGAACTCACATCTCTAATAAATGAGGTCTGAGCACTTGCCAGGTGGCAGTTTTGGATAGGAGGCCTAGTGGGTTTTGTATATGTGCTAGAGTTGGGTTTGATTCTTGCTCTAGCAGCTCAGGCATGCTGTGTCCTGTGAGTGTGTCAGTTTTCACCCAGCCCATGCTAGAATCCAGTCCTTACAGTTAAGACGGGTGAATGACCCCACAAGCTAATTTGGCTTGAAGGGTGATGGGGGAATAGATATATTAGATGCACTTAACTAATATGGCAGCATTGAATCAAGTCAATAGGCTACTTTATTGAAAAGGAAAGCATGAGCATGCTCAAAATAGTAGCTAGCTGTTGACACGTTTCAGTATGTATGTCAATAGTCATGGGTTGCTTGTTTTATTTATTAGCATTTCTGGAGCAATTACTGTCATGGTATGGCACAGATTAAGCCTAACCAAAATAGAAAGCCAGGCCATGGATTTCCTTCCCCCTTGCACTCTCTTGCCAATAAATTCAAGTATTGTACTGCTATATGGACAGTCTAGTCTGTTATTGCCCAGTCAGTAAAGTGAAATAGTTTAAGGTAATTGCTAAGTTTCACTTTATAATTGGGTTATTGAGCTAGATGCTCTAGTGCCTTCTGTTCCAGGTTGGCCAATATTGTGCTGATTTGAATGTAACTGGATGAGAAGTGCTTCTCTCACTGTTCCAAGGAGGCTGGGAATGTATAAGAAGTTAATGTAGACATTTTATTCACCATTTTTTGCTTAAGCAAGTTAGCAACTTGTGATTTAAAAAAAAAAAAAAATCTAATTATATTGAGCAATGTTGTTTTTTTTATGAGTGCTCTATAAGGTCATCTAGCTCCCTTAGGGGTTCAAATAAAAGCAACGAGAAAGAAAGATCAAAGTTGAAAAAGCTCAAAGCAGCATTGTTTCCAACATTGAGTCAGGTTGGCTGCAGCTCTGTCTAGTTGTCCTTGAAAATCTCCAAGGATGGAGATTGCATAGCCTCTGAGTGACCTGTTCCAGACCTGCTCCATTCTCCTGACACACGAACTCCTAGAATATGAGCCAGGTTGTTTTGAAGAGAGAGGGGTCATGTCCTGGACTGCCAGTGAAATGTGCTGCTGTGCGTGGGCTGGGATGAACCCAGCTCTGGAGGGATATGCAGGTAGCCAAGGGGAGCAGTGGAGCCCCAGGCCGCTTTGTGGTGCCCTCTCCCGGTAAGCTTTGTGGCAGCTAAAATTGGTTTGTGTGCTTCATCTGCCCGAACAGTTTAGCCTTTTGAAGTAGTTACTTGTGAAACTTGCGTGTCTGCTGTAAAAGGTTTTCAAAATTAACTAGTGAGCTCAGAAAAGGATAGTGCCTAACTGTAAGGAAGAAGCTGGCTTTTGTAGACTGTTCAGGACTTGAGCCATGACTCCCAGATTTACGGGTAGAGTCTGGCTTATGTATGCTTTTTCCTTGCTATAGCGTAGTCTGAGGAGATCAGCTACATACACACTGCATGGTGTGGCTCATGTTTGCCTTCTGACCCAGGCTCCAAGACACAAAGAAGCCCAAAAAAATACAAGCAAGTTCAAAGTTTCTAAAATAGCAAGAGCTACAATTATAATTTTTATTTTAGTGTGATAATGGTGGCACATGTTTTGTCTGGGTGAAGGACACAGGAAAGTGCAGAGCCTCTTGAGTCAAAGTTGAAGAGCTGTCTGGCACAGAGGAGCAAAGTTCTTGCAGTCTGCCACACTGTTACATGCTTGGACCAGGCTTGGGAGCAAATTAACCTGTCTGCTTCCCTTGGATTTTCTTGAGAGAAGTTACTACATTGCTGCCAGGTTTTCCTTCCGCAGTGAGCTAGTCTTTTTGCTTTGTTGCTGGTGAAGGTACTGGAAGTGAAACAAGAAGCTACTCAAACATGGTGTAGCTGCTGTTGTGGTATAAGTGGTCTATACATAAAGCATAAGCCCAGTGTTGCTGTAATGATTATTTGAGCAGTGGAGCTGCCATATTTTAACCCTGGGTTACATTACTTATCATCAGTTGGGTGCTGCTTTGTTTCACCATCTTCTTGTAGCATTTATCTTATAGGTTCCTTTCCATGAGGGCTACCAGTTGATGGGCTTGATGTAGTACTGAACACAGTGGGAATCATATTGCTGATTAGGACTTGTAGATAGAGCAGTGAAAAAATGTAATTTACAGCAACATGTTGTAATATATTTCTTTGATGCTGCTTCTGTTTAGGGAATTGATATCTGAGAACTTGATCAGGCTCCATGACCTACACTTGGATACTTAGCCCTCTCTTTGTTGACTTATTTGGTATGAGAGCCAGCTCTTCAGCCTTTTTGCCCTTATTTTCCTCACACTGAAATGAGATGGTGATAGCATATTGCAGGTGTTTCTGAAGAGTCTGTATAAATACGAGTATTTAAATACCATAGAGCTAACGCAGTGGTGGCTGTTGCATGAGTCTTTAACACAAATGCATTGGTACAGGTGGTGAAGGGAGACATTTTCATTCTCTCTTGATCTGCAAACTTTGTGCCTGCCTAGCCTGTAAGAAAGAAAAAAAAAAAAAAGTTGTTAATGTTTAGCTGAGCTGAGGACACTTGTGCAATGATGAATTTTGCATTCCTGACAATATATGAAGTTAAATAATTATAAATGTTGTTTTGTCTTTTCAGTACATCAACTGTGGTAACCTGGAACAGCTATTAGACGGTAACCAGCATCTGCCCTGGACAGTGAGGGTGAAACTGGCATATGACATTGCTATGGGAATCAGTTATCTTCACTATAAAGGCATTTTCCATCGAGATCTTACATCCAAGGTACCATTTATAAAATTAAGACAACTTTTCAATGAAGGTACTATAACTGGTTGCTTGTTTCTTTCTCCTCCTTCCAGCAGAGAACTGCTATTATATAAGGTGTAATCTAAGACGTTTTGAGAAACAAATTGAAATACACTTTATAGGATTAAAACTTTCCTTAAAACATGTTGATAGTTTGTATGGGAACTGGAAAAATAACTGTCCTGAAGGAAGATCACTCCTTAAATCAATTCAGATTAGGATTTCTCAGAAAGCAGCTGCAGAGTTTTTTAGTTCTGAATTACGGTTCAGTAAAGTATTTAAATCTCTGGATAATTAAGCATAACAATCCAGCATTTCGAACAGGTCAATCATATAAAGAACCCAAATTGAGGAGATTATTACAAATGCACTTGAAAATCTCTCTTTTGTTTTTATTTCCCCATGTATTTCACAAATCTTCTTCAGTAGGAAGAATGACTTTCCATTACTAACTCAGCATTAAGTGTTGTCCACAATCCTGGCTTATATTTCTTTCATTTCTAAAATCAGTAATCTTGAAACCGTTTACCTAACATTTTCAAATTTCAAAATTCTTCCAGAATGATATTTCAATGGCAAAGTTTTCAGTGGATGTAGTTTTGTTTTTTTTTTTTTTAATTCCTTTGGTGAAAACTTGTATGAATTTAGTTGGCTGAAGTAGATAGCTAATTCAAGCTCACCTAGAAATACTGACATAGGAGCACTAAGCTCTGTGAACAAATTGCCTGAGTAGTCACCCTGGATGTTGTTGTCTGTTCCAGCCTGTGCTGAGGGCTTTGCTGCCCTGCCTATCCTGTTGTCTGGAGCTAATGAGCTAGAACTCACTGGGGACTTGCACTATGAAAGTACTCCAGAACTGTTCTTGGGAAGATTTCATAATATCACTTCAAAAGCAACCAGAAGAATGTTATCATAGCCTAAAAATAACTATTTTTTAAGATTAGAAACAGCTCTTAAAAATGAAAACATAGCACAGTGTGTTTGAAAATGCAGGTGACTATTAGTTCTCGATACAGTTTTAGGGGTTTTTTTAAAGCTACTTCCGTGCACTGTTAAACAGATGAAGAATGTGCATTCAGCCAAGGGGGAAAAAATAGTTCAACTGGTAGGTGAAAGAAGTATTTCATTGAATACTTCCTTGGGTGTCCTTTCAAGTGAAAGGTGATGAATTCTGTAAGGAAGAATATAAAATTTACGGAAAATGCCCAGATTTGGAGTCATGTCACTTTGACATGATACTTTCAGAAAGCTCCATTTCAGTCACCTTGGAGTGTGCAGATAAGAGATGCATAAAAATAACTGGAAAAGATAACTTAATATTCCCTGCACCCCCCACTTTTTTTTTTTTTTTTAATTTCTGGATGTATTTTAGTACATTTAAGAGTGGGGAGGTAGGGTTGCTGCAAGGAGCCAAAGTAACTGAGAGTCTGTTCCTGCAGCATTTATCGCAACATGTACTGTGGTGGCTAGTCTTATGAAAATCCATTTCCTGAGACCTCTGTGAATGCCTTTGTTCAAAGCTTTACATAATTGTATGTCATTCTCCAGAGCTGCCCTACCAATGCTTCAATGTTATCTATTGTTGAATGTCAATTGTTTAGAAAATGTGCCGCTGGGAAGAGTGCATGATTTCACTGTAATAGCAAACTCATTGGTGGCCACAGGAAGTAGTAAGGGTTATTTAAAAACAAGCAAACAGCAAAACAAAACAAACCCTAAGAATTTACTAGCAGTTATGCTATGTTTGGATGGTTCTTGGCACTAAAGGTATAGTGCCTGTGTGGGTCACATTGGAAGCTGTCAGGATAAAAGTTTAAGTCATCAGCTATATTCTGTATTTTCCCTTTTTCTGGGTTGGTGTTTTTTTTGTTGTGTTGTTGTGTTTTGTTTTGTTTTGGTTTTTTTTAATATAATTTTTAAAATTTTTTGAGGTGGTATATGCACTTGCTTGTTCTGTTTGGGAAGGGAAGTTGATGAAACACCTGGCCTTAAATGCTTGGGTATTTGTGGATTTTATTAGTGTATTATTGTTTTGATGAAATATATTTTAAAATTAAATCTGTTGGGCAAATTACTCTCCTTTTGGGCAAATGTTTGCCCTACTTGCTGGCTAAGTTTTAAAGTGGTCACTTTGTTCCAAAGCAAAAGAATTAAGATAATAACCATAGCAAAAACATGTCACCAAAATTTTCAACTCTTAGACTGTAGCTTTTCGCTACTACTTGAGGAGATGCCTTGTATTTTACCAGGTTTGTACTGGCGGTGGGATGAATTGTCTTCATTCTTACTAGCAAAAAGTCTATGAGCAAGCTGAAGAAAGAGGTAATGGGCTCCTTCCTTGGGAGAGATCTTGTGATCTGGATTGAACAAGGGCAGAGTCCATACTGTTCTATATTGTCCTTCTTTCTTCAGTATACTTCAGTAGTTGATGTGATGGCTTTATTAATCAACTGAAGGCAAAGACAAGGATTTAGAGATCTGTAAAAGTCAGGACAGACACTGAGTTTGCAGGATGAGAGAGTAAGGTGTTTTTCAAGGAAACTTGCTGGCCTTGACTGAACTATGAACAGAATGAAACTGAGGCTCTAAGCAGGAATGTCTCCATGCTTTACCTATTACACTTAACACAATAGCCTGCTGCAAATTATCCCTCTAATATGAATTTTACTATAAAGTTATTTGGAATTAATTTAGACCCGTACTTCTGCCTTTCTCCTTCTGTTTCTGGCAAACCTCTAATTCCTTCAGCTTCCTGAAGCAGGTAGCATGAATCCATAAAGTTTATTCTGTCAGTTCTGGCAGCAGAGTTGTCTTGGTCTGACAGTAGCATTGTATGTGTCTATGTACTGGATGCATAAAAACTTATGGAAGGAGAAGTTGCTGTCCCCTGCCAATCTAAGATTGAAAAATAAGTGGTTTTGACAATTAATATACAGCAGGGTGATCTCTCTTCCTAATTGCACCAGGGGGAGAGTAGCAGAACAGTACTGATATTGCAGAAAGCCTGAGGGAAGAATGGTAGAGAAAGTATATGTAGGCCGTTATAGTCGATGTGGCAGCCCACAGGGGATGGCAGCCCTGACATCCCACTGGTGTCCTTCCCGCTGCCCTGCTGTCAGAGAGAGGCAGTGCTTGTTAGAAGAGAGTGTGCTGCTTAGACAGCTGGGACTTACCGGTGTCATGAGCAGCTCAGTCCTTGGGCTCTGGGCTTGAGCTGCTGTAGCTGCTCAGGCTGCTCTGCCCTGATCAATAACAGCAGCCTAATTGGAACCTGTCAGGAGGTAAGAGTGGTCAGACTGGATGTTTCCAGCCTGCAGATAATAGGTGTGTAGGCAGGGTGACTTTTACATTTTGTAAGCCAATAAATGCGATGTCCTCACTTTTGACTTGTCATAAAGAGATTTACTCAGAGATTAAGCCATAGATGGGTTATGACAACCAGCCTCGTTGGCTCATTCCTTGTCCCCTATTCATATCACTGCAAGCCCTGTGAATTGTTTTTTATCTGGGGCTCGTTGTAATGTGCACAAGGAGGATTTGCATCCTTGAATCATGAGGATTTTTCTTCATCTTTCAGTGATTCTCAAGGAGATCTGGCTATGAACTTTAACTCTGAAAGTCTTCGTCATAGAACATGCAGTCTTTTTATAAGACAAATTGAGCTTTATCAGAACAGATTAAAAGCAAGTATATTGGTGAATATTTGGTATGTGTTTTAAGACTTTGTTTGGAGTATTTGGCATTTTACACGTATTTAAGTTCAAGGCAATATGCTCACTGACCTCAGGGGCAGTTGGAAGCATTACAGCACTTATAAAATAGCCAGATTTGACCCTTGGAGGCAGGGCAAGCACAAGATTAGCAACAGTCTCTGAAAGATTTTGTTAAACTGGCTTCCTTGTCACAGAATCCTCCTGTGATGCTGAGGAAGGCCAGAATCTGGATCCTGGGACAACATTGCAGTAGTCTTAACCACAAGACAGAAGACCTTCATTTTCAGCCCAGGCTTTCTTTTTCATCTCTTCCCAGCCTTTCTTTTACCCTGCCGTTTCTGTGGCAAGAGCGGCCAGAGGCCTGAAAATAGTGGTCCTGGTATTTTATGTACGGCCCCAATTCACTGTCAATGTGAATCCATTGAGTGCCCTAGAAGATATGGATGCCAGGTAGAAAACTCTGTGATCATGTAATTAAGGACTTTATCTTAATGTTAATGCATAAGTGGAAGAATGAAAGTTCCTCCAGGAAGTTCTACATCCCATCTTTTGTGCAGTATTAATTTTTTGATGTAGTGTATGTTGTGTGCAACTTCCTACCAATTTAAAAAAAAAATAGAAAAAACCCAGTGGCATTATGCACTTCATTTGCAGGGTTAGAAGTTTAAGATTCATATCAGAGTTGTCTGCTGCTTTAGTTAATACAGTAACTAATACATTAATTATTTTTAATTAGTATTTCTTCTACTGTTAATTAGTATTACTAATACAAATTGTGTCTTTCTGCTACAGAGCAGGAATAGAGGAACAAGAGGGACTCCTTGGCAGTAAGAAGCGAGCATCTAGGAGTCAGCCCATTTTTCCAAGACTGATCGTATCTACTCTGTGACTATCCAATCCTTTTTGCTAGCGTATAATGCCAGACCCTGCTCGGGCCTTTCATCCTTGTTCAAAGGCTTTTCTTCTTCTTTTTGCTCCCTGTTCCTGCCCCCCAACATTATTGTTCAATCTCCTTGTCTGAGTGCAGCTACCCTCTTCCTGTTGAGCCTGCTTGATGCTTTATCCAAGCTATCTTTCTACATTCTGGTCTTTGGTATGTTCAGCTATTTCTAGCTCCCCCTGCTCTGCTGCTCCAGGTTGGTTCTGGTTTCCCCCACCACCACCTGCTTGCTATACCTGCAGTTTTTATGCCCTCATAGTCTTTGGGGTTTTTTTCCTGTCTCAAGACCCTGGTCTTGGTTCCTGCCAGCACCTAGCTTGGAC